ACAGCACAAGTACTAAGTGAGGTTTTTTTTTATACGAATGACAAATTTATATTCAATGTCTTAGCAAGATAAGTATTAATACATAGCATATTGCATTATGTAATGTATGTATATATATATATATATATATATATATATATATATAATATTTAAAAATTTAATTAATACAAATTATATTATGTGTATTCATGAAATTACATAATACTATATTTAATATATATAATATCTATACACACAAAATACGTATACTTAAAAGCATGTAACCGACCTGTCTCTACCCTCTCCAACAACAATATGCATATTTGAATGCTATTATTGTATTATAATTATTAATAGTTATGAAATATTAAAGTACAATAAGAAACTTTCATTTTATTTTATTGGCGTATAGGTATTTTATCAACAATGTCTTAAATGTATAAACTTAAAATCTCATCACATTTATAACCGATAATTGGTAGCATTTACCAACACGGCAACACCATTTCGTTTATTTTACTTACAATTTATAATATTAATAGTAGAAATTGGAAAAACGAAAGAGCAGCCATAAGAAATTTAAATAGTGATAGAAGGTACAGTAAAATCAACAAAAACATATTCTCTACTTCGTTTGTTACGATGGGCAATTCTAAAAATTCTGCGCTTTCAATAAATAGGCACGAATTATTTAATTTGCTGACACCGCTAGCAAGTTAGGGTTAAACCTAACCTAACCTAACCTATGTCGATAAACTATACAGTTTATAGGTCCTCTAAATCGTGGAATTGTGTTATGAACAGGTTTAATGGATAAACATTAAAAAATTCGTAAAACGTTCTTCTCAAAAAAGTACGTATATACCTATAATCGATATTAATTGATTTTGTACAATCTAATGCAAAGATACTTTTTGAACTCATTACTTCCCCCCCCCCTCACCAAGAAAAAGGTGTAAACTCAAACAAATAAGTCACCAGACACAAATAAAAAAAAATCGTTGTCGTCGGTTTATTTTCCAAATGGCCGACATTGGTGATAAAATCAACTAATACAAATCGTCAAATGCCCAAAGACCCGTAAGACAGATTTTCGGGTAGAACTTAGATCGCGCATATTGCGCTTGAGCTCCGTGCTGGTAAAATAGCGTCCCTCATTCTTCATCTTTAACATTTCACATAACATTATGTAATTAATATGTATGATACCTAAACACCTACGGACTGCGTGCAGATTGAGACGCGAAGCGATTAGGTTCGAAATTAATTAAATTTATAACATAGTGCTTGGGAATGAAAACGCGACATCGTGACCAATCCAAAAACACGAGCGCCAATCAAAATATAACAATATATAGGAATTATGGACGTACAACACGATCCGCCGGCGATCGGGTCTGGGGTCATCGGGGCCATATAGATAATAAAATGTATTATTTATGATCGGAGCCGATAGTGAAAACAACAATCACAGCGTTAGAGCAACAGCTGATGACGCTACGGACATGCCACTCGGCGGGCGGAGCGGAGCGGTCCAGTCCCCGTCGCTTCGTACTGCGGGACGAGCCAAACGCCGCAACAACAATGATAATCTCGCCGTCGTTATCAACTACTGCGAACCACACTGATAACGCGGCATGTCATAATAATAATAATATCGTTTTTGAAAACAACAATAACAAGCGTGAAGCGGCGACACAAACGAAACGAACCGGCGGCTTCCTCGACCACATATTATAATTCGTATTCGGTGCGTGTGCGTGCGCTACTTTCACCACTCACAATGTTTGTTTAGTCGTCGTACAGTTGTATAGCCGACGCGTCCGTACCTACTGCCTAGCCGTAATATTATCATTATTATCATCATCATTATTATTATTAATAAATATCGTGTTTCGCTAACCACCGTCACAGTTGTATTATCGTAATCTGTAACCGACGTTGACGTTAATCGGCAAGACGTGTGGCGTTCGACCGAAAACACGACCACGGCATAACAGCTGACGACTAGTGAGTACTGAGTAGTGACAACAGCTGCGGCCGACCGACGACTTTCGACGTAGAATAAAATATATAAATCGCAGCGCACTGCGCAGTCTTCGTCGAGTTCGTCGTCGTGCAGACGCAAGAGTCCCGCGCACGTTCAAAGTAAGAATGTAATAAACACCGAAGACCACTACTGTACACGATTATTGTCTATCAATCGATCAATGTACAAACCGTTTTTTTTAACTGTCCCCTAACCCTTTAGAATTCGGTCAGACTCGAAGCGCTTTTTTCAGTGACAAAACCGATGGCCTTTACAAGTGGGGAGAGGATACGATGAACAAAATAAATAGCTGTTAATCGTTATTTTCAAAATCATTTTTGTACGTTGTGTTTCACACGTAGACATTATTATATAATCTATTGTATAGGGTTTAAGGGTTTACCGGTACTTACGAATTACGGTTACTTATCGCTTATAATGACGTGCGTAAGTTCATCGTTCTTTCTCCGGTGGACTTCGGACCTCCCTCCTCTCCTCACTACTTCTACTATATGCCAATAGACAATCGCCGTCCGTGTACAATCATTAACGCTGTCGTTTCCGATCGGGTTTCTGGCATTTTGAATCCGCCGAACGACACATGCTACGGGAATACGTTAACGTCGTAAACGTGATTAAGTATTAACTATTAAGTAATAACCATAGTTGAAAACTTCTCTCACCGGCTGACGTACAACTCTATCGCCGTAGACCGCGGAGAGTTCGACGTGGAAAACAGTGTCACCCGATCGGACGGCATGGATTTTCCCTCTGTTCGCCGTTCCTAGGTTTGACGTGCATTTTGTCTCCCCGACCCCCGTCATCGCCGGCGACCGCATGTTCAACTTTCGAGTTTCATTTCGATTTTCCCCTAAATCTCGTCGCGTCTAGCGTCGGAGAATTCTGAATTTATTCAGAATACTATACTACTCTTGATAGTTAGCATTAATAGCATTTAGTATTCGCTGAGACACCAGTCACTAAGTAGTAGCGCAAATGTAATCTACAAACGCGGAAACTACGAACATTTCACAATTACTTTTATTTTTTATTTTTAAAACTAACATTAAATTATGTATGTCTAATGTGTATCATACTCATACATAATATTAAAATAATCCAACAATTCATATTATCGCTGAAATTAACATTTGAAGACTGAACACTGAAGTATTGAACTTTGATTAGTTGTCGGCTAATCTCGTCGATATTAATCGTTAAACAAAAACGGACATACAACAACGAAAGTTCGCGTTTATATTTAATATAAATAGGTACTTATGTATTTGATATTTATGTTACATGATACTATTATTATGATAATTTTTTTTTTAATTCTCGGAAAATAGCTATTAATTAGAATGTACCTACATTCAACATATAAATTTAAAATAAAAATGTTTATTTTTTATATTTATGTGCAAGATTTGTATAATATGTAGTATCTTAAACACGTAGTGATAGTCATAACTTTCTATAAAGTTTTTACATATTTTTATTTCATTAATGAAGTAATTCAATTAGGAATAAAAATGTCTTTAAAAAGCCTAAAATTATGTCAAAATCAGTTGTTTTTTGTTTAAAAATATGGTTTTATTTTTAAAAATAAGACTATCTATACTTATTATGTACAATAAATAATATTAATATGAAGAATGAAAAAAAAACAAAAAAAAATTATGCTGAAGTATATAAGGAAATCTCATATTAGAGGCTCCTAATGAGCTTAAATTAATGGCAGTTTACAATTTTATTGCACTTTTTTAAATTGGGGCACCAGTTCCATTAAAGTCTGATCAAATTCCTGGGTAATATTAATGAGGCTAAATTTCTGTTGAATTAGTAGGAGTTTTGCATGGAAGTGTTTGTAGTAAAAAACTAAAAAGTAGGTTGCAGTTTTGACGTTTTGACTAAGCAGATTTTGAGGTTATTGTTTATTGAGTTATTAGAGACATACCCTAGGGTTCCTATGATTAAGCAACAGCAAATATTTTGGAAAGCTTAGATAGTTTACTTATTAAAGTTTTTGATGAAGACCTAGGTAACAACCCTATATCTCTATAGAGATTGTAAAAGTGTTTTATAAAATAAAAGTTTAACAGATAATATTAGATTAGAATGTAGAAGTAACCTTAGTATGTGAAGTCTTGAGTTCAGCTTTTTGCACTTATTATTGACATAATATCAGAGTTATAGATATTGTATCCTAGCATCCTGCAATTTTGCAAGAATATTTTTTGAGAGCTTATATGTTATAAGTACTTCTATAGTTGAATTATTTGATATTCATTTGCAAAGATTTTTATTTGTAATCAATTAATAATTATTTTACTATCAATTCTATTTAGAGTTGATGCATCTCAAAATTTCATGTATTTAAAAGCTATAAGGATGTTTTGAAAAAATAAATTTTTAAGAACTTATCTCACTAGTTGGCAGCTGTTATATATTTTAAAGTTAATTAATGTTAATATAACATTAATTATTTAGTGCCTACTTATAATTTACAACCAATACAATACCAGTTTTTATTTTATGAAACAATCATCCTGTCATACAGATTCATTAATTAGTAAAAAATCGTACTTCATAAGGAGTTCTTAATTAATGCCTAAGTACACATATATCACTAAATAGATTTCACTAAAATGGATATATCCTCGGTACCATTAAATAAACACTGATAAAAAGCTATAGTTATGCAATATGTTTTAAATTACCAACTACTATTGAATAATTGTTTTGATTTAATATTTTTATTAAGATTAGGTAACTTATTCTGTATACAATTTATAAAAAATGAATGATGATATGAGGTTACTTAATTAAATTCATAATATTTTACTCTGTATACATGTATAATATAAAATGTTGCAATATATTAATCATTAATTATATAATTTGATTAAATACAAATGTATGCTATTATAAATAATTTAAAAGATAATAGATTCTACAGTAAAAATGTTTCAAAATAATTAACAAACTAAAATATATTTAAATAAATGTTTTTATTAATTTAATTCTTGGCGTAAATCGTCACACTCGTCTTCCAGTGTTTCCTGCAATAATGATTAAAATGCTATTAGAAATCTGAAATTATATAATATTTATAGTAAGTAATTTAATATTTCTCACTTTAGGGATTTCCAAACAATTTCCCCATTCTTCAAGTGTGACCATATGATCTGAATTTGCATCACATTTATTTAAAAATGGAGCAATACAATGTTCTAAATACATTAGTGGTGCTCTAATTGGGAACAATTCATGTCTTGATACAGCTCTAGAACATAAAAATGTAATATAAATATATGTTATATATTAGTAAAATATTTATTCAATATAATATAATACTTAATTACTAACTATATTTCTCAAATAATTATGTTTTAAAAATAACATTATTAGTAAATTGAAAAAAAAAAATACAATATTGAATAAAAGTAAATTCTTTCTATTTATAGCTAGAAAAAAATCAATAAATTTCTTCATATTTATCATTAACTACTATAAAATAATAATAAAACTTAAAATAATTGTATCTATATGTTATATTTGATACCTTTAATTTATATCATCAAATTACAATAATAATAATAATATTATTAATTCATTTTATTTATTTTACTATTTATTTGATTTTAAATATATACTTTTTTGTTATCTTACCTATCATGTGGATAACCATCCAAATCGCACCACTTCCAAACAGCTGCATTACTCCAAAGTTTTGTCATATTAGTTTCTGCTTCATTCATCTTATTTTTAAAATGAGGACTTAATTCTTCTCTATCTGCTAAATCTTGCATTATGTGAAAAAGCCATTCTCTCATTCTCCTTGGGAAATCAGCCATTTCTGTGTCAGAACATACCTAAATATTTATTGCAAATTAATTATAAATAATTCAATTTTCTTACTAACTACTGTGATTACTAATCAGATAAAATCAATTTTATAGTTTTATGATGTTACTACTTACTGATTGTTGTTTACAAGCGCCATAATATTCTACATGTAGGTGACTAAATTCTGGATTACTACATTTTTCTGATTTTTCTTCACAGTTGCAACGCATTCTGTAAATTTCACAATCAGAACCCCATGTTTGATTATGGTTTGAACAAACCTAAAAAAAATTATAAGATCAAAATAAAATCACTTTTGTATGTTATTATATAAAACTCACCTTTCTTCTTTCCTCTGTTTCAATAGGACAATCTGTAATACAAACACATTGCGCTTCACCATCTTCGGTCAACTTGCATATTCGTCCAGCACCGCAGTGTTTTTTTTGACAAGGACCTAATGATTATCAAAAAGACATTTAAACAGATGTGTATCGGACGCAGATATATGCAACTATGGAAAGACAAAAAAGTTTTATTGGTAGCAAAGTACACTAGAGTTGAACGTGAAAGACTAGAACACCCTAATGTATCAGAAAAACAACTATTAAACCAATTAAGTAACCAAGGTGCCAACTTAAAAACAATTTTGGAATCACATAATGAACACTACAATATTGTAAAAGAAGTGACATCTGCTATAAATCGTTTGGATGTTGAAGCAAAGATAATTAATTTGAAGGTAACTATAAATTAATGAAATCTCGTAATTTAAATAATTACCATTCAAATAATATGTTTTAAATAACATGTAAAATTGTTTTGTTTTTTAAGGATATTAATACTGCAGCAGTATCTTGGGCTGATGTTCTAATTGCTATTGGCGGAGATGGAACGTTTCTTGTCATGTCCAGTTATGTTCAAAATAACCAAACACCAGTTATTGGTATTAATTCTAATCCAAGTTCATCACTTGGTTATTTATGTTTACCAGAAATCTGCTCTCGAAATATACAGAAGACATTTGATACGTTAGAAAAACAAAATTTTTTTTTCATCGACCGAAGAAGAATTAGAGTTGCAATGAAGAATATCAAGAGTAAGAATCTATTACATTTGTTTTTTTTTTTTTAGTAAAATGAATCTATTGCATTAAAAGTACATTTAGTTTATTACATTATTGCTTTAAAATTTATAAAAAAATTTAAATTTGCATTAAAAATATGCAAATAAAAACATTATTATTTAAATGATTACATTAATGCATTGGATAAAAAGTAAATTTTAGATTTTCAACAATTATTTTCTCACAACATATTCTTAAATCTGTAGAAACTTCTTTCAACATCAGTGGATATAATTTTTTGATTCAATGTTTACTGCACATGAAATGAATTAGAACATTGATGCTCATATTTTCTGGCATATCTCAATTTTACATTTTTAAAAAATGAATTATAGTTACAAATTCAGTTTATTTCTACAATATACTTGATTTATAGTTTATTAAAAAAATAATTGTAATAATTTCTATCTTTTTTTTTTTTTAATTTTGAATAAACATGATACCCAAATAAACGAAATATTTTGGATTCAGGGTTGTACCTAATGTCTGTTAGTATAAAAAAAACTATTATTAGTATAAAAAACTGTTATTGAAATAAATAAGCAGTAAGTTTAATTCCATTTAATTATGTTTAAAGCTAAATATTATTGCAATTACATGTATTGTTTAAATTGAACAATTTAATGAAAAACATTTTAAGCCTATTTAACAATAGATTAGTATATAAAAAAAAAATGCAAATGTTATAACTTCAATTCCTTAATAATATTACCTATTATTTTTAGAAAAAATGGAACCACCGATAAATATGTATCAAGATTTTGTAAAAGTTAGACCAGATTCTCATTCATCACATGACATGTTGGCGCTTAATGAAGTATTTATTGGTGATAAAATGCCAGGACGCACTTCTGAAATGGAGTGTAAATTTGATGGTAATGTGCCTATAAAAATAAAATCATCTGGACTTTGTATAAGTACCGGAACTGGATCAAGTGCATGGAGTTATGCATTGAATAAAATTAGTGTTAATGAAGTTCGAAAGATTTTAAGTTACAAATTTTGTCAAATATCAGAACAAGAATGTATAAAAATAGCTAATGATTATAATAAAAATCTAGTTTATAGACCAGATTTGGAAAATTTACAATATACTATAAGAGAACCAACAGGAAGATCTCTTTGGCAGTCAAATGATGAACTGATAAAATCTGATAAAATAAAACAAGCCGAAGTAGAGACCCATTGTGAAGAAGGATGTATAATACTAGATGGATTTTTGATATATGTTTTTCCTAAGGGTGCACAAGCTATTTTAACCTCAAGACCTGAAGATTCAATTAAGTCAGTTATGATTAATGTTGACTAAAAGGATAATTAAATTTTATAAATTTTGATCTAATCTTTAAATTGTGATATTTTTATACAATTTTAATCATAAAAAAAAACTAATATTTAGATGTGACAAAAAAAAAAATTATATTTTTAAAATAATATTGTACCAGTTTTTTTAAATATTTTTTACACGTAGAATATCAGGGCCAAGAAAGTTAAAAATAAATTATCTATGGAGTTCTATACATATTGTAATTAAATTTTATTTAAGATTTTATTATAGAATTGAGATGTTATAAATTATATATAAATATTTAGAGAATTAATATAATTTTATTTTATTTTAAATTCTGAGCAGAGTAATGAATGTACTGATTTTGTAATATATAAGTTTTTGTGTATATAACGATAAGTAGTTGATAAAATACTTCGATTTTCAAAAATGGGGATGGTTTTGAACATAAAAATGGATTTAGTTTATACATTATTCATGTTAAGAATTAAAAATTCTCTGTCATTTTTTGTAATCGGAAAAAAAATTTTAAAATAAAAATATAAATTTTTACACAAATTTAATTTTTGACAAAATTGATTTTATTTTTGTAATTTAACTCAAAAACAAATAACTATACTTGAAATTTTCATCAAATATTTATATTATCATTTTCTATTTATGATAAAATTCACAAATATATCAGCCATTTTTAAGTTATTTATAAACATAAAAAATGTTCAATTATTTCGGTTTTTTTTTATAGATATCAATCAAGAATTATTCTTTAAGTAGAATTATTCATGAAAATTTAAAACAAAGCTCCTCATAATTTGTTAGTTTCTGATTTAAAAAATATTAAAAATTTATAGTTACAATATTTCTTTATAAATGTTTAAAGTTAAAATTCATAAAAATTAGTAAATTATTTTGTAGTTTAAAATTAATAAAAAAAATATATTTTTATATCTAAGATTTTAAAATTTAATACAAGATTCTTTTTAAGTTTTTCAACCTATAGATGATAAAAAAATTATACTGGAAAGCTAAATCAATTTTGTATAAGTTTTTTAAGTTCAAATTTTTACAAAAAAAAAAATGTTGAAATTTCAAATATATGATATATTTTTGAAATGTTTATAATGATAAATTATTTAATACAACTTTAACAATAATTTATCATGAATGATAATTTATCACCATTTAGATATTAAATTTATATTCAAATGTAATATCTGTTAATAACTAAATTGTATTGAAAAGTAAAGTGATGTTTGAATAATAAATCATTATTCTTAATAGTGAAAAATTATTACATCTGTGGGACTTATTAGATATTTTTATTATTAATTATGTTATTATTTTTATGTCAGTATTAATAAAAACAACTAACTACCACCAAGCAATTTTAAACATTAAATTGATTGAAAGATAACACTGTTAAATGTTAGCCATAATGAAGATTCTAATAAAAATAATAATTTATTTTACTTTTGCAGAACAAAATATAATTTATAAATTTTTAAACATATACTTCCTTCATAAGCAACACTTTCTGTAAGCCTAGCTTATTTTAGGTAAAAACTAAAAAGTGTAATTGTTAATTCATAAATGAACTTGATAGATGTCACTAGTCATTAATTTTTAATTTTTAAATGCATTATGAATACAAATAATTACTTTGTTGATCAATAATTTCCAGAGGTTGAAGTATGTTCGCCTGAGATGATCCTTCTGCTTTCTTTTCACCTTCCAGAGTCTTAATCAAAACATCTTCCATAATATTTTTTGGTAAATTATTAATTTTATTTCTATTCCACTTCTTAGTTTTCCTCTGTTAACATTTAACAAATGAAAAATAATAATAAATTATATGCATTTAGTTAAAAAAAAAAGTGGATTTAATTTGTTAAAAGTGAGCTATTGTTATCATTGCATAAAATTACAGAAATAAACCAATATTAGTTACTCACTACTTGATATAATAAAAAATAACTGAAAAATTTTATAAATAAATTTAATAAATTTCTGACACATAACCACTTAACTTAGCATAGACAGTGGCACAACGCACAAATAGGCAAGTTCTTGTACAAGCTAAGCTCTCACTTTTCAAAAAATACAAATACAATTTAAGTGTTTAATTTGTTAAAATTAAAAAAAAAAAATGCTTGGAACTATAGCCTTCTCTTCCTGAAAATTGTTCTTATCGGTGATTTGTACTATTGAACATAAAAGAGTAGATCCAAACAGTACTGAATAATTTTTTTAACAATCCTCATTACTACAAAAAATATTAAAGATTGTTTAGTATTTATGAACATTTTAGAGTCATTGCAAAAATATTTTTAAAAAAAATCTGATAATTTCTTAATGTTTTTTTTTTCAAATTCTTAGTAGGTAAAAAAATACATAACTTAATTTTATCACTAATTAAGTATTTGACAAAAACATTTTTATAGGAGTATTATATGGTATAGTTTTCTAAAAAAATGTTGATCTTTAAGTGTTTAAGCTAGAAATACCTATGAAAATTTCTTATGTTTGAAAAAATGTTTATTTACATTTTCATAACATTAAATGGTAATTTCAGAATTTATTAATAAAACATAGTACCTAGTCATTGATTAATAATTTTATTTAATAGTAGGTAGTCTATAATAGCTTTAAGTTTAAACAATAGAAAATTTGATGAAAATAGTCACATCAATTATTTAAATTTTCCATGTCGGTCGAGTAACCTCAATAATAAGGTAATAAAGGTGCCCGCGTTTTCAATACAAACAAATCAATTAACACATGAATGTTCATAAAATAATTAGTAAATGTAAAAAATACATAATGCTAAAAGCATGCATTTTTAAATAAGAATAAAACAATAATATTCATACTGGTTTTTCTTCTAATGACGTAGAACACTCGAAAAGAACAAACAATACCAATGCAAGAATAACAACATCTTTGAACTGAACCATATTGATAGCTTATTAGGTACCTAAAAAATAAACATTTATTTTATTATTGCAACATATTTAATTTTCATTTTAGATTATTCATCAAATTATTGGAATACCTGTATAATTAATAGGAAAAGTTTTGCATAACATACTATTTATCTACTAACCACGAAATGTATTATAATTTATATGTTGGTACTAGGTAGACAAGTAGTAGGTGGGCCACCTATAGGCTATAACACATAATTTATATCTACTTTATATGTATAAACTATAAATAACTTATTTCTTATACAATATATCAGTGGATTCTTAAACTTTTGTTGAACACGTATTCTGATAAAAGACTTTTAGAAATCGCAGATCCCTCCTTAAAAATTTTATTTCGAATACCTTTTTTTTTTACGAAATATCTCATAATGTGTCCTGGCGAAAACCGTTTGATAGAGCTTTTTAAGAATCGCTGCAATGTATGATTTAAGTAATTAACTAATAGATATCTAAGTAACTATAATACAATAAACTTGAACACTTAGCCACAGCCCACAGGTAAAACCCGTCGTGTGCCCGTGATTTAGAACATCAGCCTTAGCACTTTAGCAGTGCAAAAAGGCCCGTTCGTATGTCCTCAAGAATATTATAGATTAATTTTTATTTAAACTTAAGAAAGTCAATTTCTAATACTGTTTTACAAGATGATACCGCTATAGAGAACAGTATTATAGATGCATATAAGTTAGGCATGTGATATCTTAACTATGCGATTAATAGGTTAGACGCAGTAGTATAAACATAGGAAAATATTAAATCTTAAACGTTACAATTTTAATTTTCGTTCTCAATTCAACTCATTACTTTGGACTAGCATTAGGTACCTATATATTTATAATGGGTACATAAAAATTTAAAAATTAAAAGGTGATTCTTTATGTATGTTCTTCTAATAATAACTTTAAAAAATTTAAATTTTGATTTTTAGAAAAGTTCTTATCTAAGAATTTACACTTAAAGATCATATTTTAAATTATTAAAATTTTATTCCATTTATAGAGTACCTATGCTATAACAATATCATTTTTTTTTTTTTTTTTTGTTAATGAAAATTAACCTTCTTATGTAAATTCTGTAAAATGTTACACAAATAATTTTTTGGATAAATCAAAATTCGAACAAGAGTAAAGTCTGAGTTATCAAAATTTGTACACTAAGAATAATAATCTTTTTAAATGGTTTTATAAAAATATGAAATAAATATAATATTACACGTACAATCAAATATTTATTATATTCAACATTTTTTTCTTATTTTAAAATATTGATAGATTAATATTAATTACTATTATTTTTAAATCCTGTTTGTAAATGTATATATAGTCATAGTGAGAAAGGGGTAGACTTCCGAATTTCAAATACCTCAGCTCTCCCTTCTATAAATTCAATTAAATATACATATACATCCATGAATCATATAAATAATACTCGAGGTATTAGCCACAATGTTTTAGAATCTAAAGTTTAAATAATAATAGCCTCTCTCTCAAAAAATTCAACAAAATATCTTCCTTTATGATAATTTAATCATCAATACTTTAATAGGTAATCATTATTAAGTTTATTTTATTGCTTATTCATAACATTTTAAATGATCATAATAATTATGGTAGGTATTTATATTATAATTTGTATAATTGAGCACGATTGACTCAATTAAAACTCTAAGAGTAATATCAATTCAGTAATTTGCGTTTATTATTATTGACACTAAACTTGGATGATATTGTAATCAAAATTTAATTGGGTTAATTAATAATGCAATAATTTTTTTTCCTCGTGAAAAAAAATATACAACTGAATATGTTATTTAATTAAAATCCAAGTCATTAAAATTATTAATGCGTTTTAAACCATGTCTCATAATGCTCATAATGTAGCAAACATATAAATATGTGTTACCATTTATCATCCAGAAAAGTTATCGAATATTATTAGATTCAGTAATAATTAATGAGTAATACAAAACAAATTGTACTAAGTATAATATTATGTAAATAACTTATTATACAATCTGCAGAAATATACATATTATAAACATTTTACTTATACTTTTGTCTTTTACATACATAATAAACGGCGAATTTCAATTATAAATACCTACCTACTGATTCGTTTGCTTTTAAATAAAACTAAATGAAAACTTGGTCAATATTTTCGACTTTCGTGACAACTATATAACATGAATATATAAAGTATAACTTAACTTATCTAGTATCTATAAGAATTATAGATATTTAGGTAGTATTTTGTTAGGTTATATCACTTAGAGGTAACTACTAAACCTCAAAGGTACCTATTTATAATTTACTTCTTAATATACTAGTATATAATATTTTATTATGTACAACAATCTAAAGAAAGCCACTACAAAATTGTTGAACTATTATATTTTATTATTTTTATACCCGTATACATGTTATAATGTCCACACAGTAAAGTTCATGGTCTATGTACGAATTTTATTATACCATATATGTGTATAATTTAAAATAAAATAATAAATATATTATTTTAAAGGTAGGTAATTTGGTAATCGTAATAACTAATAACTATCAATTACATTTAATATTAAAGAACAAAACTAATATAAGATTTAATTTAATTTAACAAAACCATAAGACAAAATTAATTTTTTTTTTATAATGCATAGGTACCAGTAAAAGACAATCTTATACATGTTATATTTTATTTTTATACTCATATAGTCATATGGCTACAGCTACCGTTATTTTTCCAATCATAAAAATGTTTAAAAACATTTAACAATTATATAATAATACAGGTAGATATTTTAACTACTACTCAGTATAAATCAAGTATATGTTTTTTAACTATAGACAAAATATTAATATTTAAAAAAATTAAAAGTTAAAATTCATAATATTTTAAGTACTTATATTTTAAACACATATTATTACGTATTTATATTAATATCATTATTATTGTTACTAGGTATGTAAAATGCATGTATACTTAATAAAACCAGTTATTGCTTATATACCATTATACTAGTTATTTTACATAACACACCTATACCCGAATATTGAACTATCGATAAAATGTCTTTATAATATATATATATTAAGTTTTTAACATGTTTTTTATATTTATAATTAATTTTATTTAAATGTTGAAATTTAAATATTATAACCTGCCATTATTTAATAATATCTTACTTATCAATTTCATTTGTATTATGAAATTATTGAAATTTAAAAAAAAAACATTTTTATAATGCTGATCAAATGACTTCCTTTGCTCCATATAGTATTAGGTACCTATATTATTGTTATCTTTGACGGACATAAAATATATTTTTTTTTATTCATTATTATTACTGATTACTGTTTTCGCCGGAACATGATATATGTTGTTAATTTTAAAAGTGTTGGATAATAATGCTTATCTAAGTGACCCTATATACCGGAAAAATTTATCTGTAATATTTTTCATCAGAATATATGCTTATTATTATTAGTTGAATTTAATAATATTCAACCAAATGCTACTATTAATAAATCATGCACATAGTAATAAAGTGTTTGTATATTTAATAATAATAATATATATACTTATGAATAAATAATATCTTGTACTTCATTATTTCTTAATATTTTACACGATGAATGACGATGTACCTATATATTTTTGTAATAAATCATATACCTACAAATATATTTTCAACACTTTTATGTGTAGTAAAAACACTATAACAAGGGCCATTTATCCTATTTGATAACTTTACGTCTTTAAAGAATGCAATAGCCCACAATTTAATCATTCTATACAAATAAAAATGTATGTACCTATAAGCACAAATTAAAAACACTGATTAGTGATTAGTGATTACATATAAATATAATACAGTTACCTTATATATTCTTCATTTATTTAGGTATGTATTAACTAGGTATACGGTAAACTTATATAAGAAAGCCAAAATATAATAAAGTACTTCTTTTTATTAATTATTTTTTTTTTTATTTGATAATATTATAAATTTAAAGTATTCTTTACTCAAATTGTTTAAACGTAACGATTAAATGTAATATTGTATAAAATATGCATATTTGGTTTAGTCGGTTTAGATATCTTTCTATTTGTCCGAAAAGGGTTTCAAAACAGATGAATCGATTTTGACAGGGTTTTCACAGATTTTGTAAGTACTGTATGTTTCAAAGCAAACCGAAAAACAAAAGATAGATAGATTAATCTTAACCTAGTTGGAGTCGAATAATACTGCTAGTATCTTAATAATTTATTTCCAATAAAATAGTATAATATAATATATAATAGCTTTTATAAATAAATAACTAGTTATTAAAATACTGAATGCGATAATACTCGTTAAATTATAAAAAAGTATATCTTTATTCCCAAGTCCTTACGTAATTTACTATTATAACGTATAATTTATAATTGCATATTTACATGATTCTTAGTGTTGAATATTAAAACCTTGCCATAATGCATAAAAAAATATTTAAATTGTAATTTATAATTTATAATAATTAAAGCCACAAGGTTAAAAATTTAGATACCTCATACCTATAATATTATATGTGACCATTTAAGTAAAATATTATATTATATAGTTTAATATAAATAGATATATTTATGGACTTATTAATGGTTTACCAATCACACAAATAAAAAAATGAATTAATAATTTATAATTTTATTATATTACCTATATTATAAAGAAAAATATATTAAATAATATTTACTTACTTTTCCGTACTGAACTTCGATTACTACAATCCAACTAAACAACTTATTGTTTCATGTGAGCACATTTATACATATCATACTCACTATTCACGATGAACTATAGTCAGAAACGGATATGTGTTTATGTGGTTCATCTTCCGTTCGTTTACAAATTATATAGATTGATATATTATGAAATATAATAATATACGTTGTTGCACTTCAGCTCTCTCTGTTGATTACTAATTGCAATCTGCAGTTTAAACGATTTAATAGACTTTGTTGAGTCGCATGAAAAATAAATTAATTTATCGGTTAAATTAAATGTATTGACCCAACTATGAGCTACTAAATGATGTTTAGGGACCATTATCTTCCTATTAATTCATTAAATGTTTAATGATTGTTAATTTATATCGTTTTTTAAACATGGAAAGTAACAAATAATAATGATTTTATTTATTTAAATAATTTTCAAACGTGTGTTGGTCGAAATATATTAAATATTGTTTAATAATAACATTTTAAAAAGGAGTATAAGTAATAACATCATAAAAAGTACTACCTAACAATTACTTGTTTGTAACAATATCGTGATTATTACTTTAATATAGTGGTATACTACCATTTTATAAATTATTTTATTTTATTTTTTTTTAATTTAATTTACTTAATAATAATAAGTATTATTAAATTATACAAGATTTCCAAACATATTATACCTAAGTACCATTAGAATTACGTTTATTTATACAGAAAGAAATACGGAATCCTTATATTTGAAATCTATAATTATTAATAACATTAAAAAGGTACGAGAACAAATTATTATAATATTTAATTGACACCATTTAATTATTTTGGATTCCACGGAATGGAGTAATGAATGTATTTACTTTACAATGATGTGTTTGTATATGTGTGTAAGTAATACGTTAGGTAATTGAAAAATGATTTTCGATTTGTTTCTTGAAAGTTAGTTTAAAAAAAACAAACGAAAAACTATGATAACAGATATACCCACATTCTTTCCCACATATAAAATTATTTAATACAATTTTTTATTTGTATTATATAGTATTATAAATTGTTACATCATATAAAATCATTAGCAGTGCCGTACCTAGGGGGGTGCAAGAGGTGCGTATGCGTCGGGCGCCATGACTACCAGGGCACCAAAATCTTTTTATAATCCAAGTAATATTACTGATAGATGAAAGTTAACCATATTAATTTTAACTTTTTAATGTTTTCAATATAATAATATCATCCAGATCGGCGGTGTCGATTCATTATTTTGACTGGCGATGAGATAACGTTTTGAAATGTATTGTTGGCAATTATGTAAAAATACGTGTTCATATATGGATATAATTGCTTTTTATTTTTATCTCGAAATAACGACGTCATTGATCGTCAATAATAATAATATACTATAAATATAATATGTATACTGCACTATTATTGTTATGTTATATAATTAATAATTTAATAACAGAATTTCGACTGGAACAAGTTATACGATTTTATTTTGAACCCATCTATGATAATGTTCACATCACTCATTGCAGAAATAGGTACAAAATTACTTTTTATTAGCATTTATTTGAAGATAAGTTATTTTTTATGCAATCGAACAAATTTAATTCGTAAATAAATTATACCAGTTTAGTATAATAAGTACCTATCTATCAATATTTTTTATTCTACGTATACAGTTTAAATATTATATTACTAATCTATTAAGTTAGAAATGTGCAAAAAATGGTAAATCTAACGATTTCTCTCCCCTATTTTTATGTCTCTCTTTATAGGTATAAACATACATGGTAGAGGGGATAAAGGCATTAAAAATAATTTTTGGCACCGGGTACTAATAATGCTAGGCACGGCACTGATCATTAGCATTGAAAATTTGTCGTTTTTGAATTAAACATCGATATAATTAGCATAAGTAGATGATAAACTATATTATATATAATATTATACTACGTACATATGTAAATATAACTTAACCTATTGGTAATAAGTATAATATTACACATATTACTTAAATAAGGAAATATTTAGAATAAGGGTTTACAAAAATGTAAAAAAACTCGTGTACCTGAAAATTTGATTTATATTTTTAGAACTTAAAAGGAGTTAGCTAAATATTTTTTTTAAGAGATAGGTAGGTACTCCACTCTCCAGTCTTCTGTGTTCCACCTAACAATTTAAACACTAAATTTATATATTAATATATATTTTATTTATTTTTTTTTTAGCACATATGTATTATATACATAGTACTTAAAAAATTAATATTAAATTACATATGTTATGTACTTATCATTTATGCTTTTATAGTTTTATGTATTTTTTTTATTAATAAAATAAATTTATATACGTGGTATAGAATTTAAATTGTAGAGTAATATCACCACATGCCTAGTTTCCAACCAGGACTAGGCCACTGTGCAAATTGTTCTACACCACAGTAGAGTGCAAACTTCAATTTTGTAATAAAATAATCGAATTTTTTTAAATAATTAATGAGCAAAAAAAAAAAGTCTTTTTTTATATTGTATCTATGGGCCACCTGCTTACTAAGAAGTGAGAATAGTAGGCTGGTATCCCCCAAACCAGGACCTGTTAGTTTCCATAATTTAATTACATTATATTATTTGGTACTTAGGTAGATTACATCATAGATATACATCTATGTAAATTAAAATCTATATTGAATAATATTTTCGCACTAATATTTATTTAAATACTTAATATTAAAAAAATAATAAGTTATATTGTATATTATTACTAACAGTACATCGATATTTCAGTAGATACCTGAATAAGTCACAAGAGTTGAATTAGTTGCCTATCTAGTAGTAATGTACGGCAATATTTTTTACATTATTAAATTTTCGATTATCATATAACATATAACTTCTGCTCAGTTCTATTCTTGAAAAATTATTTTAAAATATTAAATTAAAATATATTATATTTAATAGTTTTGAATTTTTAACATACCGTTATCTAATTCTTTTATTTCTTTCAAACACGAATTTAAAAAAGATGGTTAATTGACTCTGTCTAGTAATAACTGATTTTAATTTATAAGATATTAACTATAAGTAATAACTTAACCAGATTCACTAAATAAGTGTTCGCAAGATATTTGTTGCTAGTACACTTAAATATTATTTTCTATTTAAAAATTGATGGGAATATTTTTTTTATTGTCTATTCACCATAATAAAGGATCTTGATAATGACTTATTTTTTTTGGAAAATATTTCGGTTTTCTGATGTGTCGTGTCACTTCACTCGTGAAAGATTCTCTAGCCAATACTTTACTCAATTCACTACTCCCTAAAAACCCGAAATATTATTAATGATTCACTTAGCAATTAATCTCCCAGGGCTCCCTCTCATATAATTTATTACAAATTAAGGTTGCCAATGTTGCTATAAGTCCCGGTTTTGATCCCGTAATTCTGATTAAGTGTTTCAAAATGGAAAATTATCTTGGAATCAAACTTAAATAATTTATATTAACATTTTATATTCTAATAAATATTTCTAGTAGAAAATAACATTGTTTTGATAAATGATTAAATAATAAAATTGATTGATTGACAGACCAGACTTAGTTTTAAAATTATTTTCCGGCTTAGTGACGACAATAATTATTGACGAATATAATTACGTTCATTGTTTTTCTGTTTCCAAAATTTTTGCTTTCACAATCGCTAATTAACTACTTGGTCTCGGTCGATTACTCATTCCGATTTGTGCAGGTACGACGTCACATGCGTTATAACTTTTGTCATAAACTTAACAGTTATAACAGTTATAACTTATAACGTTATAACCTATGGAGGTATGACTAATGAATGGATAATTTTAATCATATATTGAGACAATATACTATATAAATTTATTAAAATGTTACCATTTAACTTATTATTAGTATAAACGATATTATAATAAAATAAATCGTTAATGCTTCATATTTTACAATTTAATTGATTAAAAATATCAGAAAAAGTTCAGTAGCAGATAAATTAACTTCAATTCTCTCGGAAAAACTTTGGTATTATGCGTGTGTGGTGTGAATGTGAGATAATAAGATATTATGTGCAAATTTATTGATTATATTTCTAGATTATTAACAAGACATTTCATTACACATTACACACATCACTTAAGACATAAGACCTATCCGCTATTGCAAGTTACAATAAGTTGATATTGTGTTATTATTTATTTTTGACTATAAAAGTAAAGAAATTTAATAACTATTGTTAGTATGTATATTGTATTATATTTTATTAAAAATAACAATAACCATATTTTTGATACTTGAATATAATAATATTACCTTTCTCCTATTTGTGCATATGCAGGTTGGCGTCTAAAAAACGGTAAATGGTTGCTATAATGGTTGTATTAGCATAGAAAAACTAAAATAATGCCACTTTAAATGTTGTAATACTGCACTTATTACCTAATAGGTACCTTTATTTTATTTTACAAAATTACGAATTTAAAAAACGCATCGTCTGCCGCCGATAATGTATTATGGGTTGGTACTAATCATCTAGTGTATTGGAAGCACTGTATTCTATGTAGGGTGATGGCCGGGTGGCGGTGTCGACGACCTGAGCCGACCACTGACGACGGCGACGTCGCGAAGGGATTTCTATTCTCTTGTTATTATTATTTTTCTTTTTGTGTTGATTTCTGTACGGGGAAGAGTCACTGATCCAATCTTAGCAGCTCCTTACGCCGTCGCTATCTTTTCATCTACAAATTGTTATTTCGTCTTTCGCGCCTACCGCTTAAGCAAGTACGACGAACGGTGTTTGCTCGCTGGTCGTCAAATCCAACCATCGTTCACGTTCGCTCTGTTGATACAAAAAAACGCCGCTCTCTATAATAATTTAATCCATAGTTCCAACTAATTCTCGCATAGTCACCGGTCCACGTACGTAAGACAGCCTTGTTTGAGTCCGTGTCTCAAAAATATTCCCTACGTTTTGATTTGCTTGGCGCCCACTACTGTCGGATCAGTTAAAAAAAAAATAACCGTAAGTATATAATTTCCGTAATTATTGTTATTATTGTTGTTATTGCATTTTTTGGCATCGTCGTCCGGTGCGCACATGTGCGCTTCGAACCTTCGATACGCGCCCCGCCGTCCGTTGACGACCGCATGTTTGCCGCTGCTTACAGTCTCTCAATACCGACAGCCGACTACGCTTTTCCAATATTTCGGTGTTCAATGACCGTCGCCATCTCTTCTCACTGCATTATCCCGCGCTTAAGAAGCGTCTCTTATTAAGTTCGTAAAGGCTGAACCAATTCGGCTGGATAACGTCGCAGCGCGTATAATATTGCTGCTCAAAACACTTTGTTGTTTTCTATATAAATGGTCATCAATACCCAATCATTATTAAACTTTTATTCGGCAATTTATTTCTCCCATTGATGTTAGTTGGGTACGCTCAAAATCTTCTTTACCCAAAATAAAATCTGCAATGATTGCTTTGTTCATCATTTATTTATTACTTTAGCTATTGATTTTGAATACATTGTCACAAGATTTGATTCTCGATGCAGATATTATAGAATTTCGGAAATTTACTTTTAAATGTTGGTAATACATTTTAATGACAACTCATTAATGATGAATAGTGCATACCATAATTAAAATACTATTGAATGTGTTAAATTATGGATATACCTAATCCAATAAATGAATATCAAAATAATTTGTAGTGAAAACCAATCGTAGTAGGTAACTGATCATTTAAGTAAATGTTTTATGTTTTATTAATTATCTAGTATTATTATTTATTTAATTAAAGCTAATACCTATTTTTGTGATATTTTATTTTAAAATACTCATTTTTAATTAACCTTTAGAAAGGTTAATATATAATGGATATTTCAGTGACCACAAACAATTTGTTATACCATGGCTGTGGCTATCAATAAATATCCATAGATCTTAAGCAATAAAAATTGAACAATTTTGTTTACTAGTGCATGGTGTTTTAATAATCTTTGAATCTTTTTATTGGAGTTCATATATTATGTACCTAGTTTGGTTCTGTGTAAAAAAAATCTGAATAGTCATGACATAAAATATTTGCAATCAGCAGAACCATCCTCGTATTAGCTTTAGTTTTAGAATGAATCAATTTTAGTTCAAACTTCAAGTTAAGAACATTGTGTTTTTATGTTTAATTTTCTACCTTTTTTTACCATAAAATTTAAATTTAAACATTTTATATCCTATTTCAAATGAAAACGCTTTGTGCAGCGTTATAAGTGGCGACCCCGCTACAAAATTATTAATTGTTTTCTGATAAGTCGATGGTGGTTGAAACTGTTGGAAAGAGGAGGACATGTGTGAGTTTTGACCAATTTTTATCGACCGCCTAGTGTGTTCTCATTTGAAATGGGGTATATATACTCATTTGCATAAAGTGAAATTATGATGTTAATTAGCCAATGCTGAAACAAAGAATATTCCTAACTGTAAGATAGATGAAAGATCAATCAACCCTAATACTAAAGTTAACAACATGAGGTTGGTTTTACTGAACCCCATAAATAAGTCAAATTTAACAAAAAAAAAGCTAGAAGAATAAAATGGTGTACTAATATCCCTAAGCTATTTATAAAATTAAACTAGATTAATAGTATATACTGCCATAAAAACATGCTTATTGTAAATAAATAACATTTTATGCATTTTTTTTTTTAATACCTTATATTCAGTATTTAGAGAATATTTGACTACATTGTGCAAAGAATTTGGGTGGATTTTTTTTATTGAAAGATCTTTATAGTCCGATAACGGAAGTAAATAGTATGCGCATATATATTGTAGTATTTATTCATACTCTTCTGAATTCACTTCTTAGTAACTTGAACGAGGTTCACAAGAATATAGTTGATGTCTCGTATCCTCTTTATCGCCCAACCAAAATACCAACTTAGTAGAGTATGCCTAAGGTGACATAAGACAAGTTGATGATAGTGAACCGATTATACTTGTGTTTCTTTGCTGAGAGGTTGGAATTCATATTAGAGAATGACTAGTTTTTATTTATGTTTACTTGTTTTCTCTCAATAAATGGAGTTGGTATAAAAGAAAATAACTTACTACTTAACATTATAACCATATATTGTATAATAACAAAATTGCATGAAGTATGAATGCCAAGTCTTACTCTGTTGGCCAGGAGAATTTTGTTGTGTTCAAATCAAAACATATAATATTTCCATCTCAACTATCTAAATCCTCAGTTCCAGTTGTATACAAATAGAGTATACATTCTATTAGTTAAAAAAATGCAATAGATGATTTAAATCTTTCAAAAATGATTATAATTCGGACACTAGTCATTTTTATTGTTTATAGTAAAATATTAAGTAGTTATTAAAAATAGTCAATCATAATAAAATTAACCTTTTTTGCTAATTGAGTAGGTCACTACTTACAAATGATATTAATTACCAATATATTTTCAAAATGATGACTTAATAGTAATTATATTATTAAAAATTGTATTCAATTACCTATTACTATTTAACTTTGACAGGCTAGATACAAAATTGATAAATTATTGACCTTTAGGTACCTACATTAGAAATTATGGTTTAGAAACTGATAATAATAAATAATATATCTTTAATGCTATTTGTCAGTTATAAAACAAAAAAATTCCTACTGATTTTTAAAATACTATAAGTTTTTATTTTTATAATTCATTCTGCAAAATATTGCTAATAACTTTAACCACAATAACATTTATAACTAAAAATACCAATACCTACCTAATGTATTATTTATTGCTTTTTCATTTTGTGATTAGTGATTAGTACAACTAGCAGACAGTCATAATTTTAGTTTAAATCATTTTGAATAGATATTATATGTTATAATTATTTAAAATACTACATTAATGTTAATTAATAGTATTTTTTTTTATACAATCTAGGTACCTATTGAAATTTTCAATTCATTTTTTATAGATAGGATTATTACAATAGTGCTCAAAGAAATAGTAAATAATATTATTCCTTATATAATTGTATAAATATACCTCAAAATATTAAAATTTATATATGTATTGTCTATGGAATTTATGTAAAATAAAGAGTTGACAATTCAAACATGTTACATTAAAATATTAATATTTGTCTGTTATAATTAAAAAAAAAAATTATATTCCCCTTTTTTAAAATTAAAATTTGTAAGCTATGTTTGTATTAAATTAACTATATTACATATCTTCGAGCATATCTTATTCTACTTTTTACTAACCCTTATGCATTATATTTTACACTATATGCTAATTATAAATAAACATTTAAATAATTCCACAAACCATGGTTATTTTTTTACAGATGAAGTATACTAACTAATATTTAATTTGTTTGCGTCTATAAATTAGATACCAGCATAGTATATTTATTATCATCACTAATGTGAATAATAAATCTTGTTATTTGATATTAATAATACCTAATACAGATAATATACTTTATTTAATTGTGTAAAATATAATGCACATAAAATCAGTATATTAGATAAATAAGGAACATGATGATATAATTTACTTTACTTATAATGTGTAAATTGTTCATTGTTTATTAAAGATAAGAAAAAAATATGGAGTGTAATTTTTCGATAGGTTTATAATAGTCAGATATCTACCAACATTTCAATATTCATCAATATGAAATAAAGACTTATTGTATAATAATAATAAAAATTAGAAAATTAACATAAATGACTTAGTTCATAGTAGTTGATTTTACTAAAATTTGTATGTATGTAATATTTAAATGTTTTATGTATTTAGGTTTCTTGGTCAAGTTTTGATGGTCAATTATCTTTGAGTACCTTAACATCAATTGATAAAAATGGTTGCTGATAGTTGTCCGAACCCACAAAGTGTGGGACGTGAATTTGTTCGTCAATATTATACTATGTTGAATCAATCTCCTCATTACATGCATAGGTAATTAATAATTATTAAAAAAATCTCTTAAGATTATATTTTGAGTATAATAATATGGATTTATGTATATGGTGTAGTACATAATTTAACATTTAAAAAAATATCTATATTTTAATTAATATACCTAGCTCTCTTTAAAACTCAATACATTTTTATAACTATTATTTTACCATGGATAATATAATTATGAAAATGTGAATATGCATTTGAGGTCTTTAAAAATTGATTATGATAATAATAATAAAATAATGCAATATTTCTATAGATTCTATAGTAGCGATTCATATTTTGTACATGGAGGTTTGGAACCATATAGCAGGGACATGACTCCCAGTATTGGTCAAAAAGAAATTCATAAACGTGTACAAGAACTGAATTTTCGCGACTGTCATGCTAAGATCTTACAAGTTGATTCACAGAACACTCTTGGAAATGGTGTGGTAGTTCATGTCACTGGTGAATTATCTAACTGTGGGCAGCCAATGCGTCGTTTTGCACAAACTTTTGTATTGGCAGCTCAGTCTCCTAAGAAGTATTATGTTCATAATGACATTTTTCGTTATCAGGTATTTGATTATATAACTGAGTCATACATATTGTGTTTTTTAATAAAATGTTGTGATATGGTGTAGGATGTGATGTTGAATGAAGATGATGTAAATGATGAAGCAGATTCTGGACAATCTGATGGTGAAGAAAATGGAGAAGTTGAACAAACTCCTGTTACTCAACAACCTCAGCATCAAGTAAATTACTATAATACAACAACTCAGGGACAGAATTTGAATGGGGTTGCTTTGAATGTGATACCTGCTTCGGTCCCAGTACAACAGTTGCTGCCTGAGCAAATTCCTGTTCAAGTTCAACAACATATTGTAAGTATCAAATGAATAATATTAATAAAATAACCTTGTATAAAATATTATTAAAATAATAAGTTTAAAATATTGGGAATATTACATAACACTTTTCCTAATAATAAGACAGTTTAAGGTTTACAAGTATTGTTTTTTAAAAACTAGTCGAGTTAAACATTAATTCTTTTAGTAGAACTCATTAGTTATATATACTAAATTACATAAGTATTTAGAAATTCTCTACGTGCAGGAATACTACAGAGTTCTAATATTTAATTGGTATTCTTATCATACATTTTAGAGTTTTCACACTATTTCTTTATTAAGTTGAACAAAAATTTCAAAAGTTGAGTATTCTCACAAATTTATGAATATGATACACAATTATTTTTAATCATTATTTTCAGTTGAAATGCAACTTATAAATATTAGTGAATTTATAATTGTTAATACAGCTACATTTTTAAAAATATTAATCAAAAAATAAATCTTATACTTTTAAAAAAGTTACAGAGTATATGAGGTAACTATTATTGTAATCAGGCCATTATCAAGTTTTGAGACCATATACTGCTAAATATTTTTGCAAGCCCTATTACAAAACTTCCAATTTGAATTAAATATGTATAAATTTACCCTCAAATTAAAATATTCAATCGACAATATATTTTTAAATAAATAAATCATTATAAAATAAATTCATTTTAACAAGACTATAAAATAGCTATACCTTTTTATTTCAAGTTTAACTGTCCCCTTCCCTTTGGTCCCTGATTATAATAATTTATAGATTTTTATTTAGTTAAATTATTTAGTATATTTAAAAAATATTAAAATAATCTAGTAAATAATACTTTTTAGCCAACTGTTACTGCTCCGGTACAAAATGCAGCTCCTACTGTACTGTCTCCCAGTAATAATGTATCCAGAACTCAACCAACATATAACCAAAACCAAATATTGGCAGAACAACCTAAAATTCAACATCAAGAAGAACCTACTATTCATAATGTGGATATAAAGGAAAATCAAGAACCTATTAAAAAGGATGTATCGATTACTGAAGGTATAATATTCTATTCTTGACCTAATTTGAAGCTATTTATTAAATTTATAAAATCTGAATACTTGGAATTGTGTTATAATGTATGAGAGAAAAAATAACTTATTTATATAATTAAAGCTATTATAAAAAACTAAAATAAATCTATATGGGTATTTGTGGTATGTCATAATATTAATTCAATTGCATATAGTTTTTTTTTTTGTATTCAAGAATTTAAATAAATAACAAATAAACAATGATTGGAAATTAATAAATCATAAATATTTAATTCACAAAAAAAAAAGTATTTTTAATAAACTATTATTTAAAAAAAAGTAAGAATGTGTGTGTATTAATGATATATTTGGTTTAGTAAGTAACTGATAAACTATTGACATTTTAGTTTTAGTTTCAAAATAAATATATGTACTGTATTAAAACAATTTAGAAGTATATAATTTATTAATTTTTAGCTGTTTCACCTGGAGATCAACCAAAACCATTATATGCACAGCTTTTCAAATCTGGTTCACGATCAACAGAAACTCATGCTGAAGCCCCTCAACCAGCTTCTGTACCGACACAAAATTACTCAACTCCTTCTTTACCTAAAGCAACTTCACCAGTATGTTTTTATTTTACAGAAATTATTATTTTTGACAATTAAATATGTAATTCTTCTGTTAAGGTTCGAAATAATGATTATTCAAGTAATGCCTTTCCTAATAATCAGTATGAGCAAAGAGGCAATGTTAATAGAAATATGAGGAACAATTATAATGGTAGAGGTGGAGTTGGTGGAAGAAATTTGAATGATAGACCAAACAGAAATTCTTTTAATAATCGCGAAAATGGTTTGTATTTGAATTTTTAAGAATGTATTATTTAAAGGTACCAATATCATATTAGTTATCTACATCTTATAATATAACTAATTTTTGTCCAAATACATCAATATTGTTTTATTAGCTTTAATAGTTGAGTAAATTTACCTTTGACCAAGCTTAAAGTTAATACTATGATCTATAGTATTTCATAATTTTTTATTGATATTTGAGTTTTAAAATGTATTATGAGCATTTAAATGTTGGAATATTTTACTTAACTATAGCTTATAACTTATTACTTATCTAAAAATAATTATATAAATTAAAGCCGAAAAATATATTCAAATAACTAACATCCTTACCTTAAAGTTTCTTAATAGGTCAATTAATTTTAATATGAAAACTAACAACAAAACAAATTCTTTTGAACCCAATTTTATTATGTTATGTTAAAATGGGTTTTAACATGACATATTGATTTAACATCTATTTAATGTTTGTATTTCTATTGTTAATTTTATTTAGGATACAATAATGGTCCTGGCAACGACCTTAGGATTAATAGAGGTAATCAATCTGGATCTTATAATGGTATGTTCCAGTCTGATGAACAACAATTGTTTATTGGTAAAATCCCTCCAGAGGTTCAAGAAAGTGATTTGCGGGTATGTATATCTATTTAATTTTATATAATATCATGTTTTAATGATAATAATAATTTTAGAACTTATTCGAAAAGTTTGGTAATTTATTGGATGTACGAATAATGAAAGGAGGCAGCAAAACTGGTGATCCATCTATGAATGGCAATTTTGGTTTTGTCATTTTTGAAAGTATAGACACGGCACATAAAGTATTAAAGAGTCGAGTGAGTTTAAATTTTATTAATACAATTAATTATAATATTTTGCTATAATCATAAAATCATTATATTCAAAAGCACTTTCATAAAAAAAAAAAAAAAGTTAAATGCGGTGTTACAGATTTCATAAATGTTTAATTTATTATGCATTTTTATAATACTACATTTATGTAACTTGTTTATATTTTAAAAGTAATTTTTATTTACAATAAAATATTTTTTAAATTAATTAACTTTTGTAATATTTATATACATCAAAATACTTAAGGCTATATTCTGCTTAAAAATATGAAAAACATTTAATAATTTTTAGATAATAAGTTCTTTAGTAAAATAATCACCCTGTATAAATGTACAATCATACATTCATATTAATATTAGATATAAGTATTTGAACGAAAGCATAATTTATCATGTTGTGTGCAGCAGAAAGATAAAATATGACGTCTTACCTAAATTAATAATGTTATTATATAGTAAATTTTTGGTAATCCAGCAGATAATAGAATAAAGAATTGCTAGATAAACAAAAACGACAGATTAATGGAAGCTCATATAAAAACGTTTTTTCACTTATTGATAAACCTTATTTTATTTATTAAAACATTTAAATAATACAAACATACAATATACATACTAATTTATTATTGTGTTAGATTAATCTTTTGATGGGAAAGGTATATTATCATTTTGTTTTTTTATATTTAAAATAATGCTTTTGACACTTTCTTGCAATGTATGAAATGAAATGTAGGATTTCTGGATATACCAGATAATTGTATTGCTGGATTATGAGAAGTTAACTGTGTTTTTTTACTATATATTTTACAATTTATAATTACTACATCATAATTTATAAAATAAACTTATTTTCTGAAGTTTTTTAAGATTTAAATTTTAAAAAATGATAATAATATATTTCTTTTTTTGTTTAGCCTATTATGCTCCCTGGAGAAAATGGCATTAAGTTGAATGTTGAAGAAAAGAAAAATAAGTCTAGAAGTTCAATGGTGAATTCTGATGGTGGCAGTGGTGGTGGAGGTGGTTTAGGTCGTGGTGGTATGCGTACGGGCAACAATCGTGGAGGTTTCAATAGAAACCAGAATGATGGACCTAGAAACAACAACTTTAGGCGTCAAAATTAATAATAATAATTAAATTTAAATATGATTAAAAAAAGAACTTCAATAAATACTCAAGATGACCAGAAAAATCCCTAATAAAGACGCTGTTCAGAATTTAAGAAAGACTACAATTTTATACTGTTTTTTGCTAGATAGCTTCAAATTTTATTTCCTTTGCATTTACAAATCATTTTTCCTATTACTATTTATCCACTTGAATAATGTTTATACCTCAAAGTATTGACTTTGTCCATAATATATAAATCATATATGTCGTATATCGAATCACAAACCTAGTCAAGTAAAATTTTTCAACATGTTTTAAATATTTTTTCAGTTCACAAATTTTTATAGTATTGTTTTAATTTAAAATATGTCATTTATTCTTCACCAAACTTAAAATCATATTTGTTTTGTAAAAAAAATATTTTTTAAAACAGGATGATTAAAATTAAAAAAAAAACATTTTTTATACAAATTCAAATAATATTTTTAATCATTCTGTTTTACAAATATATAGATTAGGTTATTTCCTATCTAATCTAAACTATTTTAAACTCCTTTATTTATTAATATTATTTTTTTTTTTTTTTCATATAATGCTAAACCTTGTAATTTAGTTGTAATTATATGATGTACATAAGTGCTGAATTCAAGCAACAACGCTTAAGTACAATGCCCATTTGTGTAATTTTGATAAGACTAAAAATAGGCTATCAGATTTTTAGTAGGGCTTCCTTGACTATAGGAATTACAGTGAAGATTTTATGATATCAGTATAATAATATATTATGATTTATACCACCGCCCTCCATTTTTTTTTTTTTTTTTTTTTTAATTATTCCTATTCTTGATTTTTTTTTTTTGTGAAAATATGTTCATTTTAACGTAAAACAAATAATAAAAAAAAACAAGTATTTTTTACTTCTAAAACTATTTTTTTCTCCTTTTGTTATGAACTAAACCTTATTGTATGCTATTATAATGTTTTACAATAATTTCTTATCAATTTTGTGTTTAAAAAAATAATAATCTACTGTTATAAGTTTTTAAAACCAAAACTACATTTGTAAAACAGATTTTATCATCAAGGTTACAACCTTATTAAAATTATATACTCATGTCAACATCACAAAAAGGATCAAAGTGAAAATCAGAAAATATTTGTTGATAAGTGAAGTAAGAAAATTTAAAATAATAATATTAAAGTGTGTATTGGGTGTTTCAATATAAATTAAATTTATTAAATTTATTTTAAATTGAATGATTAGTCGTAGTTAAAAAATTCTGTTTATAATGGGATGCCTTTAGTATCCATTAACATTGGACATTAAAATGTTTAGTAAAATTGTGACTTACAATTTTTTTGACACTATCTGTTTTTCAGGAAATTTCAGTTTTTTTTTATTAAAGAAAATTATAAAATGAACTACATAGTTCCTAAACAGGATATCTTTTAAGTAGGTATGTATCATATGAACTTTAAGGTTCATACATAATGCATAAATTTTGTATTGTAAATTTACAATAAAATTATAGAGTGATTGAGTTACACTAATATTATATAACAATAACTTTTTCAATCTACATTTTGAATCAAGTACCTACTTACTTCATTGATCATTTTAAATATGGTAATAATATTTTATGAGAATCATATACTTTACCTATAGGAATATTCTTTTAACTTATAGGTTAATATTTAATTTCATATTTCTTTAGGATTTGTTAAGTAATTCTGTTAATTCATTGAAAGATGAAATGGCCGTCACTAAAAATTGTATAATCTAAACATGGTATTTCAAAAAAATTAACAGTAGAAACTTAAAGCTTAATTTTAGGGCTGTGAATTTAATGTACTAAAAAACCTTAAAAAATGAATTGAAAATATCAAATAAATGTAATAAAATATGCACTTAAAATGCAAAATATATGCAATATAAAATGCTAAAATTTATAGTATAAAATACAATAAAAATGGTTTTTGATTGAATTTTTAAAATATTATTGATATTATAATTTAGTACATTCAATTTTACATGTATAAAAATAAGTTTATTTAATAAAAAAAAATAAATATTAAGAAATTTTTTTTTTATATTTATTTTGTTAATAATTAGGTTTTTAAAGATGTTAATTGACGGAATTTAATCAAAAATTATAAAAGAAAATATGACCTAAAAATGCAAAAAAAAAATGAAAAATAAAAGTTTCATAAATGGAATTGTTGTTACATAATTCAAAATGAGTACTTACAAAACTACGTTTCACAATCGTCAATCACCAAAAAAAAAAAAACGCACCAGCCCTACTTATTTTACATGAAAATGTTAACCCAAACTTGTTTCATTTGTATAAAATGGCTTTAACATTACTAATTAATTCCTCCACGTGTGAGAGGAGCTTCTCTGCTATGCTCTGAATAAAAACGTAGTTACAAACGTCTATGTCTCAAAATAGATTCAATCAGGTGTCTATTTTGTATATAGAAAATTAACAATGAGACTGTTCACTATTCAGTATTCTTAAAAATTTAGGAGATGAACATAAATAACTAATGTTAAATAAATGTAGAAAAAAAAA